ATGGAAAACCTGGAAACACTGGACGGCCGTTTCGTCCTATTATGGGACTCCTCAGCAGTGCGCATCCACGACCTCGCCCCCTGCGAGATTCGAACCCAGGACCTACTGGCTTCGCGCGCGAGCACTTAACCACTAGACCACTGAGCCGGCATCCAACGGTGTTAATGTCTAACTTCAACTAATCCACGAAATTGAGCGACACATCCACCATTGTCTTCAGTGAGTTACTATCCCACAACAGACCTGGTTGAACTCCACTGGTCACTACTTCTCACTAGAACTCCAGGATATACCTCTTGAAGCCAGTCACTAGTGAGCATATGTTGATTATTATCAGAAGGGGTTTTGTGGAGATTGTAGTAATTTCAATGATTAAGATCATGAGTCAGTTGAAGCTAGACCACCATGGAAAACCTGGAAGCACTGGACGGCCGTTTCGTCCTATTATGGGGCTCCTCAGCAGTGCGCATCCACGACCTCGCCCCCTGCGAGATTCGAACCCAGGACCTACTGGTTTCGCGCGCGAGCACTTAACCACTAGACCACTGAGCCGGCATCCAACGGTGTTAATGTCTAACTTCAACTAATCCACGAAATCGAGCGACACATCCACCATTGTCTTCAGTGAGTTACTATCCCACAACAGACCTGGTTTGAACTCCACTGGTCACTACTTCTCACTAGAACTCCAGGATATACCTCTTGAAGCCAGTCACTAGTGAGCATATGTTGATTATTATCAGAAGGGGTTTTGTGGAGATTGTAGTAATTTCAATGATTAAGATCATGAGTCAGTTGAAGCTAGACCACCATGGAAAACCTGGAAGCACTGGACGGCCGTTTCGTCCTATTATGGGACTCCTCAGCAGTGCGCATCCACGACCTCGCCCCCTGCGAGATTCGAACCCAGGACCTACTGGTTTGGCGCGCGAACACAGCCCACAGACCACTGGGCCGGCATCCAATGGTGTTAATGTCTAACTTCAACTAATCCACGAAATCGAGCGACACATCCACCATTGTCTTCAGTGAGTTACTATCCCACAACAGACCTGGTTGAACTCCACTGGTCACTACTTCTCACTAGAACTCCAGGATATACCTCTTGAAGCCAGTCACTAGTGAGCATATGTTGATTATTATCAGAAGGGGTTTTGTGGAGATTGTAGTAATTTCAATGATTAAGATCATGAGTCAGTTGAAGCTAGACCACCATGGAAAACCTGGAAGCACTGGACGGCCGTTTCGTCCTATTATGGGACTCCTCAGCAGTGCGCATCCACGACCTCGCCCCCTGCGAGATTCGAACCCAGGACCTACTGGTTTCGCGCGCGAGCACTTAACCACTAGACCACTGAGCCGGCATCCAACGGTGTTAATGTCTAACTTCAACTAATCCACGAAATCGAGCGACACATCCACCATTGTCTTCAGTGAGTTACTATCCCACAACAGACCTGGTTGAACTCCACTGGTCACTACTTCTCACTAGAACTCCAGGATATACCTCTTGAAGCCAGTCACTAGTGAGCATATGTTGATTATTATCAGAAGGGGTTTTGTGGAGATTGTAGTAATTTTAATGATTAAGATCATGAGTCAGTTGAAGCTAGACCACCATGGAAAACCTGGAAGCACTGGACGGCCGTTTCGTCCTATTATGGGACTCCTCAGCAGTGCGCATCCACGACCTCGCCCCCTGCGAGATTCGAACCCAGGACCTACTGGTTTCGCGCGCGAGCACTTAACCACTAGACCACTGAGCCGGCATCCAACGGTGTTAATGTCTAACTTCAACTAATCCACGAAATCGAGCGACACATCCACCATTGTCTTCAGTGAGTTACTATCCCACAACAGACCTGGTTGAACTCCACTGGTCACTACTTCTCACTAGAACTCCAGGATATACCTCTTGAAGCCAGTCACTAGTGAGCATATGTTGATTATTATCAGAAGGGGTTTTGTGGAGATTGTAGTAATTTCAATGATTAAGATCATGAGTCAGTTGAAGCTAGACCACCATGGAAAACCTGGAAGCACTGGACGGCCGTTTCGTCCTATTATGGGACTCCTCAGCAGTGCGCATCCACGACCTCGCCCCCTGCGAGATTCGAACCCAGGACCTACTGGTTTCGCGCGCGAGCACTTAACCACTAGACCACTGAGCCGGCATCCAACGGTGTTACTGTCTAACTTCAACTAATCCACGAAATTGAGCGACACATCCACCATTGTCTTCAGTGAGTTACTATCCCACAACAGACCTGGTTGAACTCCACTGGTCACTACTTCTCACTAGAACTCCAGGATATACCTCTTGAAGCCAGTCACTAGTGAGCATATGTTGATTATTATCAGAAGGGGTTTTGTGGAGATTGTAGTAATTTCAATGATTAAGATCATGAGTCAGTTGAAGCTAGACCACCATGGAAAACCTGGAAGCACTGGACGGCCGTTTCGTCCTATTATGGGACTCCCCAGCAGTGCGCATCCACGACCTCGCCCCCTGCGAGATTCGAACCCAGGACCTACTGGTTTCGCGCGCGAGCACTTAACCACTAGACCACTGAGCCGGCATCCAACGGTGTTAATGTCTAACTTCACTAATCCACGAAATCGAGCGACACATCCACCATTGTCTTCAGTGAGTTACTATCCCACAACAGACCTGGTTGAACTCCACTGGTCACTACTTCTCACTAGAACTCCAGGATATACCTCTTGAAGCCAGTCACTAGTGAGCATATGTTGATTATTATCAGAAGGGCGTTTTGTGGAGATTGTAGTAATTTGAATTATTAAAATCATGAGTCAACTGAAGCTAGACCATCATGGAAAACCTGAAAGCACTGGATGGCCGTTTCGTCCCATTATGGGACTACTCAGCCGCGCGCATCCACGACCTCGCCCCCTGCGAGATTCGAACCCAGGACCTACTGGTTTCGCGCCCGAGCACTAGACCACTGAGCCGGCATCCGACTGAGTTAATGTTCAACTTCAAACAATCCACGAAATTGAGCGACACATCCACCATTGTCTCCAGTGAGTTACTATCCCACAACAGACCTGGTTGAACTCCACTGGTCACTACTTCTCACTAGAACTCCAGGATATACCTCTTGAAGCCAGTCACTAGTGAGCATATGTTGATTATTATCAGAAGGGGTTTTTGTGGAGATTGTAGTAATTTCAATGGTTAAGATCATAAGTCAGTTGAAGCTAGACCATCATGGAAAACCTGGAAGCACTGGACGGCCGTTTCGTCCTATTATGGGACTCCTCAGCAGTGCGCATCCACGACCTCGCCCCCTGCGAGATTCGAACCCCAGGACCTACTGGTTTCGCGCGCGAGCACTTAACCACTAGACCACTGAGCCGGCATCCAACGGTGTTAATGTCTAACTTCAACTAATCCACGAAATCGAGCGACACATCCACCATTGGCTTCAGTGAGTTACTATCCCACAACAGACCTGGTTGAACTCCACTGGTCACTACTTCTCACTAGAACTCCAGGATATACCTCTTGAAGCCAGCTCACTAGTGAGCATATGTTGATTATTATCAGAAGGGGTTTTGTGGAGATTGTAGTAATTTCAATGATTAAGATCATGAGTCAGTTGAAGCTAGACCACCATGGAAAACCTGGAAGCACTGGACGGCCGTTTCGCCCTATTATGGGACTCCTCAGCAGTGCGCATCCACGACCTCGCCCCCTGCGAGATTCGAACCCAGGACCTACTGGTTTCGCGCGCGAGCACTAACCACTAGACCACTGAGCCGGCATCCAACGGTGTTAATGTCTAACTTCAACTAATCCACGAAATCGAGCGACACATCCACCATTGTCTTCAGTGAGTTACTATCCCACAACAGACCTGGTTGAACTCCACTGGTCACTACTTCTCACTAGAACTCCAGGATATACCTCTTGAAGCCAGTCACTAGTGAGTATATGTTGATTATTATCAGAAGGGGTTTTGTGGAGATTGTAGTAATTTCAATGATTAAGATCATGAGTCAGTTGAAGCTAGACCACCATGGAAAACCTGGAAGCACTGGACGGCCGTTTCGTCCTATTATGGGACTCCTCAGCAGTGCGCATCCACGACCTCGCCCCCCTGCGAGATTCGAACCCAGGACCTACTGGTTTCGCGCGCGAGCACTTAACCACTAGACCACTGAGCCGGCATCCAACGGTGTTAATGTCTAACTTCAACTAATCCACGAAATCGAGCGACACATCCATCATCGTCATTTGTGAGTCAGTATCTCACAACAGATCCGGTTGAACTCCACTGGTCACTACTTCTCACTAGAACTCCAGGATATACCTCTTGAAGCCAGTCACTAGTGAGCATATGTTGATTATTATCAGAAGGGGTTTTGTGGAGATTGTAGTAATTTCAATGATTAAGATCATGAGTCAGTTGAAGCTAGACCACCATGGAAACCTGGAAGCACTGGACGGCCGTTTCGTCCTATTATGGGACTCCTCAGCAGTGCGCATCCACGACCTCGCCCCCTGCGAGATTCGAACCCAGGACCTACTGGTTTCGCGCGCGAGCACTTAACCACTAGACCACTGAGCCGGCATCCAACGGTGTTAATGTCTAACTTCAACTAATCCACGAAATCGCTCGATTTCGTGGATTAGTTGAAGTTAGACATTAACACCGTTGGATGCCGGCTCAGTGGTCTAGTGGTTAAGTGCTCGCGCGCGAAACCAGTAGGTCCTGGGTTCGAATCTCGCAGGGGGCGAGGTCGTGGATGCGCACTGCTGAGGAGTCCCATAATAGGACGAAACGGCCGTCCAGTGCTTCCAGGTTTTCCATGGTGGTCTAGCTTCAACTGACTCATGATCTTAATCATTGAGATTTAATATCATTGAAACCAAGAGAAAAGGTATTCCTCGGTACTAAAATCATTCTTATTAAATTAACAACTTTTATTGTTATTCATCTTCATTATATTTATTTAACATCTAGCTGGAATCAGCTGATAGTATGCAAGCACCATTACGTGGTAATACAATGACAAGTAAAATAATGAACTATTGTTTTAAACAATTTGGACGCGATTATTTACAATCAGTATTAGGTCCAGTACTTATGGAGCTAGTTAGACGAGATGCCGGAAACTCAGCTGCTTATGTAACTTTGGCACCACCGCCACCACCACCAGTGATGGCTACAACAGCAGGGAAAAATGATGTCAATAACAAATCAGTCAACACTATCAAGAGTGACAATATTTCTAACTACAACTACATGCAACAATTAAGTGAAATGTCATCAATTAGTACGAATGAATTGTTGGAAGATATAACAAAATTCAATCAAAACAAATCAAACTTATCTTATGAAGTTGATCCAAGACTTTTGCAATCAAACGAAAATCTGGAAGATAATCAAAACAACTTGATTTTCGCAACTGAATTATTATATAATAAATTAATTAAATCTGTAGATAGGTAAGAATATTAAAACATACATTTTAAATATGCATTTTATTCATTGATCGATTTGATCGACCTGAAATATTTAGCAGCTTACCATTTAACCACTCGATCATAGTGATAAACTGCTTTGTTTATTTTGGTTCAGATTTATATTTAGCTATACCAAAGGCGATTGATTAACGACTATTCAATCAAATAAAGCAATATATAATAGTTTAACATCCTTCAGTACAAACAAGTGGTTCATGATTCAGTAATCATTGAAGACCAGTGAATGATCATGGTTACTCATGCACTGTGCAACGCTTAGGATAGATGTGCATCGGTTCATTTGGGCACACTTCACAACAGTACACCAAAAACGATATAGAGAAAAGCAGATTGGTTGAAACAATATCAGTGATGATGAGAAACTGAGTATAGGGCGAATGTTATTTGATAACAATTTTAGAAATCGAGGAATGAAAGTACGAAATATTTAGAAGAAATTCTCGAGATTTGGGAAAAGTTAAATGATAGACCTGTGTGATAACTAGCGTCTCTTTTGCTGTAACTGCAATCCTACTGTCTTAACTTGGAAACGCGAATCGCCTTAATTCCTCGATCCTTAGTGAGAAAACATGACGATTAGTAAAAATAAATATATATTGATTCACCGAACACTTGTTTCCTGAACAAATTCATGTCGTTACTAAACCAAACAGAGTTACTGATTTCAAGCACACAAACACCATATAAATGAAAAGTTACACAGCGTAACTGTAAAATACATAAGAATATCATGAAGAATAATTCAAATGATATAAATGGCGCACTGGACGGAATTTCACACGTATCATACTGAACGAAGTTCATACTTAATCGGTAGAAGCATATTGACCCGGAAAAATATTACACTGGAAAACATAAGACTTGTACCGTATTGATTAAAATGTCAGTCGGAGAATAATACCAATATTAAAATGCCGCACTGTAAAATAAAATTAATATCATAAAATTTATACGAATATCAATAGACAATTCATGCACCGAGTATAGAGCAGATATTATTTGTGAAAACTATATTTGAAATAATCTCAGAGATTAAAATTTAAATCATCCCAAAGTTTCGTTCAGGAGTTTTTCGGACTTCAGGACACATGATCAACTTTGAAGGGACCAAAATACTTCAGAAATGCTTTCGCACTCATGAAGATAGAGTGACAGCATAAGCACTGTATAGATGAGCTCATTAGGACAACTTGGACAGAAAAGATGGTATTTAACTAGCCACGACTCGAAAAATCATCATTAACGAGTAATTATACCCTATCTCTATCCACCATTGTTCTGGTAAAATTTCTTTGAGTATTTTGTCATTAAAATTACAGATGGCATAGATTAGATTCGATTGTTGAGCATCATATATTCTTTGATAATTTTGATTAATACCCAGAAGTCAAGACAACGTTCCTGAATCGAAAGTTGGGTTTATTTTAATTTCAATCGCTAGTATTATTTCATATACAAATTTCACAAATATTATCATAATGTATAATACCGAGTTGCAAAAAACGTGAACTCACCTCTGCATCCCGATTTATTAACATTTTTCACAATAAGTTTATTTGAGACATTACTTAGAATTCACACTTGTAGGTTGGGATTATTCAGGAAAAACCAACAAGGAAATTCGCACCACCAGACTAACCTTAGATTGGAGTGATGAAGCATATAGTGTGAAAATAATCAATTAGCAATTAATCATTAGTTATGAGAAACTGGGCTCTGAACGGTTAAAAATTCACTATACACGAAAAGCAGATATTTCTACTTTAATGAATATTTATCAATTTAAACTATGCATATCATTAAAAAGAAAGAGATACAATTGGAAAAAATTAGCTCTTACTGTTAACTGAACTTCTGATAACTGAATTTCCCCGTTGTTTAAAATTCGAATCTTACATGTTATTGCGTACGCATAAATTCTCGGACAAAATATGAGTAATGGTGAGTGCAGAGTAGATGGAATATGGCTAGCAGTGTATTACAGGACACGTATTTCCTCTTGTTTGGAGATCGTCATCTTAATGTACCAGCATCCCAGATTTGATGTTTATCCTGCGACTAGAACCCAGCACATCTAACTGATTAGTTCCGGAATAGGACGAAACACACACCATAAATTCAACTACCAACCACGTCTCATCTTTTCTGCACTATATGTGTCATAATCGGTTATATCCTCATAAAGTGCGCATGTGCTAACCGCGACTAATCAAAATTCAGTCAAAATATCAACGTCATAATCCAATTCATTTCAAATTCAACTTATGAGTTATGATAATTCACAGTAGATTTCAGTTGACATTAGATCGTCTTAAAATATGTTTATAACAATCCATTAACCCCTTGAAATTATCAACATGTTTTTTATTCTATTAAAGAAATTCACGTTTACGTTGATTGCGTCGAACATGCATCAGTATTTTTCTATGTTTTACGGTCAAATTTATTCTTCCAATCTGTGTTTCTTTAAATTCATTGATTTTTAAATTTTTTTGTGATTTCGTCAAAGTCAAATGTAAAAAAGTTATTTTTTGTTTAAATTAATTGGTTTTACTTAGGTAAGTCTTTCATACTCCAACATCAATTTAATCATTCTTGTAGTGTTTACAATAGTTTCAACAATATAAATAATCATGAACATACACTACTGGTGATAACGAAGTGATATCAGCTTAAAGAACATTTAATCTTTGAACATACGTTCCATTAGTTAAAAACACTTGTAATTGTATGTCTAATTTAATTTAAAATCGTTCTAACATGTGTAAAACAAACATTATTTTAATTCTTGCTTATTTACTAGTTTCCCATCTAGATTACGATGTATGTGCAGATGTTTATACAAACTAATTGGTCATTTAGGCTATGGAAATCAATCTACTGATCAAGCATTAAATGTTTTGTCAACAGTTGTATTTTTACGATTTATTAATCCAGCTGTTGTATCTCCGTATGAAAGTGGAATATTGGATTTTGAACCACCAAGTCGTGTTAAACGTGGTCTTATTCTGATTGGGAAAATGATGCAAAATATTGCAAATCAATTACTATTTACCAAAGAGCCGCATATGCGTATATTTGATCCAGTTTTACAGAAACACTTTGAATCATGTCGACAGTTCTTTAAAGTATGTTCCATTAAGTGTTTTTACTTGTGTGTTTTATGCTCAACATTTATCAGTCACTTTATTTTCAACCTTTAACTTCTAGTTTGCATTAAGATCCGGATGTTACGAATCCATTGTTTCGTCAGGATTTATGTATTGTCGAATTAAGACAACTGATAAGAAGTGACGAAAGATCATTGTGAAGAATTCTGTTTAGTCAGACTGTGGTGGTCGGTGTTCGATATATTCCTTAAACTCCGTATACAGTTCGTCTCGGTAACCGTCACCAAATAATGCTCCAACGGTATATTAATCAGAAGGCGAATACGAAGCGTTAATTACGTTTATTAAGGGACCACACACAGATATCCAAAATTACAGATGCGTTAAGCAAGCATGAAATAGTTGTGCCGAAAGGCAAACAGGCAAGCGAGCGAGCGAGAGAGAGCAAGGGCAAGAGCGAGCGAGCGAGCGAGTGAATGAACGAGCGAGCGAGTCATGAATATGAATAACATGGACATATATATACATAGTGAAATTAATGAATCATCGAGTCAATTAAGCGGTTAATAGTAAAGCTAGTAGCGTGAATAAATGCGTAGGCAGTAAGGCTTGCCGAGCATACATATTCATACAAGGATAACAATAATAAAGGTACATACATTCGCAACAGTAATAAGGATACAATAAGTTATTATAGTGCAGGTGACTTTGTCCGTTTAATAAGTTAATAAAAGGGCTTAACCGAATTAGGTGAGAGCAAACTCAATTGAACGTGAGTTGCTATAATAGCTCCTCCCAGCAAACAAAGATACAAAAGTGTCTGTGTTTGCGAAAAAAAATGTCAAATTTAACAAGATGGGAAATATCGAAATTTACGAAATTAATATATATGATAGAACTATCGTATAAGTTATTAAAAATATGTGTAAGTTTGAGTTGGTATGTGTATGTCCGTGAGGCCAAATAAGATCATAACGGAAGATCGGAAGAATACATAAAATATGTTGAATATAATAATAGATAAGCTAAAATTTTCGATTTGTACATAGAAAATGAAGATGAAATTTACATTAGAAGAGGTGAAAGAAATTATTAATTCAAAATCGTAGCTATGTATCGTTGCGGCCATCTCACTCTTCGGCCATATCTCGTCGTTACTGGATTTTCTTCGTTTGTGTTGGTCGATGTCGTTGGTGATTGGAACTCGCGTTTCGGTGGTTCGACGGTTTTCGAAGTATCTGTATATACTGTCTGATCGTCGGTTTCGATGAAAGCTGGTTTGACTCTGTCGATGCTAATTACATCCGTTTTTCCAGCTTTTTCTATCGTAATAGTTTTATCGTTTCTTTTAATCACCTTGAATGGACCATCGTAGGCCGGTTGTAAGGGACGCTGCACATTATCTCTTCTGATAAACACATGGGTACTATCGGTCAGTCGTTTTGGCATGTAGACACGATGTTGCTGTTGCCTCGGAAGCGTTATCTTCAGATCACCCATATGTTGCTTTAGACGTTGTACATAGTTGGCTATATGCAACGGGGATGCCCAGGGACTATTAGACGGTCTTACGATACCAAGCTTCATCAATTTTTCGAACTCTCGTTTCGCAATCTTCAACCTATTTGGGTCTAGCCTCCGTGGTCTTGCGTTGGTCGGTGGACCTTTCGTTATAATATGGTGCTGTACAGTGTGTTTAAGATCTCTGTTATCGTATGATGCTCTCGTCAAATCAGTGAACTCATTTAGAAGCGCTCTATATGGCTCGCTTTTGTCTTTTGAGACTACTAAATTCATGGATACGTAATCGGTTGTCACTCCTTTTATCACTACTGAATGGTCTCCGTTCACGAGCCGGTTTCGTCGGGTATCCACTAGTAAGTCGAAATTCTTTAAGAAATCAATACCAATTATAGGTACGGATACATCTGCGATGACGAATTCCCAGCGGAATGAAGCGCTACGACCAAAATTCAAGGTTACTTTACGCTTGCCATATGTTTTTATATCGGATTTATTTGCTGCCTTAAGCGTTTGCGCTGTATTAATATTTCGCGTTTCGTTACTCACTGGAGGCACAACGCTTACTTCTGCTCCAGTGTTCACTAAGAACTGAGCACCTGTTACTCTGTCCTGAACGTAAAACAAACGACTGTTTCTAGGAGCTGTTCTAGTTGTCGCGGCGTTTACCGACAATCGGTGTGATCGTTTGAATTTACACGGTGGTCGGCAGTTTCGAGCTTTGTCGCCAAAAGTTTGATGGTACCAACATATTGTAGGAGCTGAGCGTCTCCTAAAACATGATCGACTTCTATCTCTCGACCTACTTCGCGACTTTTTTTTTTGTGTATCGCTCTGATTTAGTTTTGTCAGCTTGTGGCATAAGACTTCTACCTCTTTCTGTAGAGTACTAAGTCTATCATCTACCGTCACGTTGTGTAATGGAGGGCTTGTTTGTTTGGTTCTTTCGTATATTCTATCGGCTATTTTTGCTATGTTGTCTATATCGGCGTCCGTATCTCCGACGGCTAGGATCTGCTGTACACTTGACGGAAGTCGCCTAAGCCACAGTTGATAAAACAGGTTAATGTCTATTTGCCTATCGCCCAACAGGCTTTTCATATACGTTTTTAGCTGTGATGGGGTTCTATCTCCCATTTGTACTTGGTTAAGAAGTTGTTCGACAGCTTGTTGATCACTTAGAGAGAGAGTTTTAATTATTACTTGCTTTAGTACATCGTACGGCTTCTCGATGTCTGGTTTCGCTAACGCCTCTCGTACGCTATCTGCTACTTCGTCTGGAAGGAGTGTGCTTGTGAGACCGAATTTATCTCTCTGTAAGTGAATGAGGTTAGCCAAAAAATAATTTTCAAGTCTAATGAACCAAAGTTCAGGATCTGTGATCTTAAAAGGAGGAATAGTTACATTCATGGACCTCACGGACGAAATTTGTGGAAGGTCTATTGTGTCGTTATTTGAAGACATGATTATAAAGATCAAAAATTATACGTATATAATGTAAATGTCACGGAGAGAAGCAAATCGATAAAAACAATGATAATACAAAATGGTACAATTAATAACAAGGAACGGACTTACTAAATTGCACCAAAATATCAATTGTTTGTAAAATATCGTTGTTTATTATGAATATTAACGTTATGTTCAATAATGTTTGTCTGATAATGTACGTATAATTAAAATGGTGACATAATAAATCCACAGTAATGATTATAATCCAAATGCTAGCTCGAATTGAAATAAAGTGCGTTGGATTCTCGGAGTTGGATTACGTCGTCGAAGATTGATTCCTGCTCGCACGTTGGGATCACCAATTCTGTGGTGGTCGGTGTTCGATATATTCCTTAAACTCCGTATACACACCAAATAATGCTCCAACGGTATATTAATCAGAAGGCGAATACGAAGCGTTAATTACGTTTATTAAGGGACCACACACAGATATCCAAAATTACAGATGCGTTAAGCAAGCATTAAATAGTTGTGCCGAAAGGCAAACAGGCAAGCGAGCGGGCGAGAGAGAGCAAGGGCAAGAGCGAGCGATCGAGCGAGTGAATGAACGAGCGAGCGAGTCATGAATATGAATAACATGGACATATATATACATAGTGAAATTAATGAATCATCGAGTCAATTAAGCGGTTAATAGTAAAGCTAGTAGCGTGAATAAATGCGTAGGCAGTAAGGTTTGCCGAGCATACATATTCATACAAGGATAACAATAATAAAGGTACATACATTCGCAACAGTAATAAGGATACAATAAGTTATTATAGTGCAGGTGACTTTGTCCGTTTAATAAGTTAATAAAAGGGCTTAACCGAATTAGGTGAGAGCAAACTCAATTGAACGTGAGTTGCTATAAGACAATCCATCACCAGTGGTTTTAAAAGATATAGACAGATTCGGAAAATGAAAATTCAATATTAACGTTTAACATGAGTTTTAAGAGAACATATACAATGAATATATATATCTGCGTCAGTGCAACCGATTTTGAAACAAGTCACTCAAAATATTTAACTTGTGATTATGAGTATGAGGCTGGGTACAACCAGATTTGCGTCACCTACTTATATAGTTGGGGATAACTTTTTTATCTTTTTGTGGTAATCAGTGTGTTGTTTTCTGTTCGTTAGGTATGATAGAATCATCGATCAAGTTGCGATGTCATTAGGCTAGAAGGCTAGACATCTCAGTGCACTATAGTCTAACTTGAGTCGGTTAGATGTAATTGATAAGAAGCTACCTATATGTTCTGTTTCGTTCTTAGTTACTTTAACGGTCGCATATTAAAATTTGTTTGATGAAGCTCTGATAATATTCTCACAAGTTAATTAAATGTTAATAATGAAAAGAAACTCCGCCTGGAGTCCCTTTCCGGGGGCTACTGCCGGTCCCAAGCCCGGATAAAGGAGGAGGGTTGGGCATGGGGTTAGCGACCCCATCCCGTAGAAAACTAACTCGCTAAAAAAACGCTAACCAGAAAAAATTATTCAAACCATTTAAACTCTGCCCTGGGAGTCAGGAGGTCTTCGTTTAGAAGAATTATGACGCCTCATGATGAAAGCCGAGTTTCTTCGGAAGTCACGAGGCCGATGCCCCTTCTGACAACCAGAGCAACCATTTATTTAGGTACATGGAATGCTCGCACAATGTGGGAGACTGGGAGAGTTTTCCAAATTGCTGCAGAAATGAGGAGATACAATTTAGAGGTGCTTGGGATCAGTGAAACACATTGGACGCAAGTTGGACAACAACGACTAGCTTCAGGGGAGCTGCTGTTATACTCCGGACATGAACAAGAAAACGCGCCACATACACAAGGAGTTGCATTGATGCTGTCCAAACAAGCACAAAATGCACTTATAGGATGGGAATTTCATGGACCAAAGATCATCAAAGCCTCCTTCAAAACAAAGAAAAGGGCATTACAATGAACGTCATCCAATGATACGCGCCTACCAACGACTACAATGAAGACGCTAAAGATCAATT